CGTTCCTTACTTCCCCAAGAAGCCAGGGAAGATGAAAGGTTAAAGCTTTCAGAGGACTACGAAGATATAAGAACCCTAAGAAAAGTTGTAAAGGTTGGGTATTGGGGAGCTAAGGCTCATATTGGCCACATCATTGAGGGTTGTGTTGACGCTGTACCCTAGGTGGCGCCTTGCCTCGTTGGCCTGTTTCCACCGGTTCGCCAGGAAGAAGGCGCGAGGAAGGTCCTCGGTGAGATCTAGCTCCTGAAAGTCGTTGAGCTCTTCGGGGGAGACGTTCAGTTGGTCACTCACATCGATCTGATAGTAAGGCCACCTCTCCAGAGGAGGTACCTTCGGGAGTGGCCGAAAGCCGTCTTCGTCCGTTCCATCCGAGAGGTTGAAGTTCACCTGGCCTCTCAACTCTAAGATGAGCCGCTCACGCTGGGCGTCCGTCAGATGAGACGTGTCTTCTGGCATTTGTGCATGAGACACCCACTTGCCATCATCACCTCTGGATTCGTAGCCCCGAAGTGAGAAGCGGTACACGCCTACATCCTCCTCAGGTACCCACTCTGGGCTTTTGCTGTACTTGACCAAGATGTACTTCTTGCCATCCACAATTTTTTCGAGCTGGTCGGGGCGCGGAAAGGTCTTTTGGAAGAACTCGTCCTCTTCCTCTCCGTCACCCACCGCAAGCCTTTCGGGAAGCTCTGGCCTCTCTGCCTCTTTAGCCTCCGCGGAACGGACGAGGACTCCATAGGAGCTCTTGCTATGTCTCCCACTGCCACTCTTCCACTTCGAAGCGCAAGCCAAGGAGAGCACAGCCGGAAGGCCGAAGCGCCAGTGCTGTCCCGCGAAGTTAGGGACGCCTCGCCAGCACTGAGAGGCCTGTGACACGAACGGTGTGTGCCGTATGGGAGGAACATTGACGACAAGGGTGCCCTGCATTGCGCGAAGTTCAGGTGAGGCTTTCACAGCCCTAAGCTCCTTCTGCCTACCTGAATCACTGGCTATCCGTCGGTCCCTCTCTCTGACAAAACCATTCACTGCGCTCTGCGGAGAATCTAGTAACTATGTACGTGCACACATACCCACATGAGGCACCCTGTCTCTGCAAAGTCTCGGAGCAGTAGACACTCCAACGTTACAGCTGAGCTTTCCAGAGCTTACTCGCAAAACATCAAGCTTGACCCTACCTGCCTACAGTTGCAGACACAGAGCCGAAAAAGCACGAAACAACAATGCTTCAAGCATGTCGTTTTGCACCCGTGAAGTCCAGAGCCAACTTTAGTCTGTAGACAAGCTGTGAAAATGAAAGCGTGTGCAAATGAAGCTCAGTGCGGCACATCGAATCCCCCTTCATTCCTTCTTCCATGATGTACCGATTGACAGGATACTCCTGACACCAAAGGCAAGGAAAGCAGAGAACAACGAGTGGAGAGGCTTGCTCTTGGAACAAGACGACGCAGTGCATGTGAAAGCCAAGCCACCCTTCGATTGCACGACACAATGAGATCGCGAATGAACCTGGCCATGCTCGATTCAACATCCAAAACCTAATGTCTGAACAGCTACCTACAGCTACTAAGGTTTAGGGTTTAGGGTTTCGGGACTTAATGTCAGAACAGCTACTAAGGACATGAATAGGGATGGTTGCCTCGAAACTGCACGGACCAACCTTGACACTTGACATGGGGAAGCTTGCACAAAGGCTGCTGAGCCACTCTTCGTGTGTGTCGCGGAAGACTTTGCTTCTGGCTAAAAGCTCCTCGCAAGCGGCCATGTCTGCTCTGTCAGAACCGACACTGATATGCTACCCCCGACTCCTGCATGGCTTTGGCGAAAAGTGGATCAATCTCTCGCTGTTCCGACACATATCGCTTGCCGACCTTTGACCCAAGCAAAGTCTACAGTAGTCTACAGCATCCACAGCATCGAACTGCAGAGTGCAATCTCACGAAATGCATGTTGCATGGCCATGCGACATGTCGCATGCACTGAGACGCCAACCTGGACGAGCATGGTAGCATCTGGAATCCGAAGAAGAACAATCGCGAAGAAACAAAAATCAAAGAAGCTTTCAAGGGTTATGAGAATGATTGGTTCTTCATGCAATCCGAAAATTATCACATGAGCGCGTAAATCCACATCGAAACTTGAGCCAAGCAAAACACGTCTCACTCGAAGCGTTGATGCATCGGTGCCATGCTGCATACAAAGATGCTAAATACGTTCGGCAACCCTATACATTTTCGCGATTTTGTTGCGGTTTCCAGCAGTCTGTCAAAAGCCTATTGCATTTACTGCACGACAAACAAGTTCTTGGAAGCTCCGCCAGGGATAAAAGCATGCAAACCACCCCGTTCATCATGCGATTGCAAGGCATTCGCCCCCGGCTTTCATCATGCAATGTTACAGCATTGAGAAGCCCGGCCGGCATCAAGACATGTTAAACGAAATCCGCGACCTTGTTCCTGCCACAATGCTGACAACACTTCCAGATTAAACCCACCCTCCTTTCATCATACCACTTCGAAACATCGTCTCAAGACACATCCCTCCTGTTTGCGATTCCGCGCATACCAAGCAAAACACTCGGCAGCCGACAAGGCCATGTTCTTTGGCCACTGAGCCGCTCTGCACAGTTCAAGGTTTGGGGTTTACGGGAGATAGAAATTGGAGGTTAAAGGTTCAGGGTTTACGTTTCGCTCGAAATTGTCAGCAGTACGGGAGGACTCGGTTTCAATGCCCAATTGGCCCAGGCACCAGCGGCGGCTGACTCCGCACTCTTCTATATATAGTTAAGGGGGCACTTATGGTAACCCTTTCCAAAACGGTTTTAAAACCCGATTTTTGCAAAACGTTTCACCAAAAATGGCCTCTTCGAGCTCTCCTGCAAAGAAACCGTCAAGGTTGAAAGGAGTTCTTCAGGGTCGAAATCGCGATT